TCGCCACCGCCCTCACCACTGTCCCCACCACCATTGTACCCTCCACTGTCCCACTGTTTCCACCACGTTCCTAGTGTCCCCACACCACTGTCGTCACCACCACCGTCCCCACCACTGTCCCCCTGTCCCTACTGTTCCCACTATTGTCCCCGCTGTCCCCACCAGTGCCCCCACCAGTGTGTCAATGTCCCCACTCTCGTCACCATTGTCCCACCACGGTCCCACTTTCCCCACGGTCCCCACCAGTGTCCCACTGTCCCCACTACTGTCCCATTGTCCCCGCCGTTGTCCCACTGTGCTGTCCCAGCGTCCCCACTGTCCCCATCACTGTCCCACTGTCCCCACTGTCCCCACTTTCCCCACCGTGCTACTGTCCCACCACTGTCCTCACCACCGCCTCCACCACTGTCCCCACCACTTCCGTCACCACTACTGTCCCACTGTCCCACACCACTGTCCCGCTGTCCCTTCGCCACTGCCCCCACCACTACCGTCCCCACCACTGTCCGCACCACCGTCCCACTGTCCCCGCACCATTGTCCCCACCACCACCGTTCCCACCACTGTCCCAGCATACCATTGTCCAACTGTCCCGAGGAACGGGAATCGTTTGCCGGCCCGGCGGCGAATGGGGGGGGAGGGGGGGTTCGAACTGGTGGTGCCCCCCTCCGGTTTTCGAGGGGAGGGGGGGGTTCGAACCGGCAGTGACCCCCCCCGGTTTTCGAGGGGGGCGGCGGGTTCGAAACGGTAGTGACCCCCCCCTTTTCATAATCCACTGAAGTGGGGGGGGGGGGGAGGGGTTCGAACCGGTACGGAAGGGGGGGGTTCGAACCGGCAGTGGCCCCCTCCTTCGGTTTTCCGCCAGCAAGGGTAGAACATGCTCTTTCGGACATCCGCACGGGGCCTGCGATGTTCAAGGATTATGGCGCTCGTGCGCGACAGCGCGCGCAATGTTCGTCGCATGTTTTTCAAAAGGCTCTCGTGTATGTATGATTGTCGTTAAACGAACGCGCGTGTAGTAAAGGCTGTATGGGGTGAAGGGGGGCTGCTGCTCTGGCAAGGGGCGGCATGTAATCATCAGGCCCGGCAGGGATGGTATGAATTCATTTGGCAAGTGAACGATGGGGCGGAATACCATGTAAACTTCACATCGCCATGCTGGCCTGATAATCGGGGGGATCCGACTTCCCGTATGGAAGAAAAAACGAATGCTCGCTAGTGAATTGTCAACTCCGCTGCTCGCAAAAAAAAAAAAAACATCCAACCACCAGCAGTTCGGCTTGAAAGACCACAGTGGCGATGTGGTTTCAAAAACCGCTGCGGCGGGGATTGCGATGACTGCTTGGCGCTCGCTCGCGCATCGCTGCGGCCGCATTGGCGAAGCGGCCAGCAAGGATGGCGCGACCGCCGCGGCCGCGGTGGCGCTGACCGCTCGGGACTCCCCAGCGCGTCTCGCAGGCCGCGCTAACGCGCGGGCACTTCAGCGCGAGTCGGTGACTCGGGCGGGAGGGGTATCATGGCGACGCCGACAAAAGCGGACACGACGATGATAATAGTGATGCTGGTGACGATGACAACGGCAAGGCCAATGACGGCGCCGATGCTGGTCACACCGACGACGATGATGGTGTCCAGCCGTCGGCGGTTGAGTCTTGGACGGTTTTGGACACGCGCGCGCGGCCGATTCGCGCGAGTGGCCCGCAGGATATGATTTGACAGGGAACGTGCCCTCCCAGCAAACGTGCAAGGGCGCTCGAATGATTTCGGCACGGTCGCGCGAGAGGCCCGCATGGTCGACTTTGAACATGTGGAAACCATGGTCCTGTCAAGACCTGGCGACAACGGGCATACTTTTTGAAACGCCATGTTGCAAATCAGTGTTTTAAATGATTATGAGGAACTCGACCTTGACTTCCTTACGACCTCTAAACTTTGAGCGATCTCGGCATGCTCACCATGCGGCGCGTGCGTGCCGATGTTGTCAACTTGTTGCAAAGCTTGCTTGGGGAAGTGGCGATTTGTGACACACGAGTGTGCACACATATTATTACTATTACTATTATTATTATTAGTATTCTTATGACTACTATTATTATTATATTAGTAGTAGTAGTAGTATTATTATTAGTATTATTATCACTATTATTGACAGGGACAGAGGGGGGCGGTACTGGCTCATCTGGAATGGTACGCAGTCATATCTAGAATCAGCAATGGGGCCGAACCATGTTGAAACTGCACTATTCCAGGGGGTGCCGATAGTTCGGGGGAAAGGTAGATCCGAAGTTCTCTTTTCACTTCAGAAAAGAATCTAAACGGCGACGGGGCGGCGACGGCAACCACGGAGCCGCCAGACCGGCACACAGGCCCAGACGACGGGCGGCGACGAGGTGGCGACTGGGCGGCGATGGCGACCATGGAGCCGCCGGACCGACCAGCAGGCCCACGCGGCGACGAGGCGGCGACGGCGACCACGCAAACAACCAGGCCCAGACGACGGGCGGCGACGAGGCAACGACGAGGCGGCGACGGCGATCACGGAGCCGCCAGACCGGCACTCAGGCTCGGCTCCCTTAGAGCAACAAGTAAGAGCCCCTGAGTGCAAAGCAAGGCAAAGCCACGACGCAATGCAAAGCAATACAGGGCAAGAGAAAGCAATGCCCGGCAACGCACAGCAATGTCAAGCAATGCAATGCCAAGCAAATCAATGCAACGCCATGGAAATCAATGCAAATCAATATTCAGCCAACGAAAAAAGGCATACCATAAAATTTTCGGACGTCGAGGACGCCTGCCCCACGGCGGTTGGAAAATTTATACCCCGACGTGACACCGTAAGGGTATGAACTTTCCAGCCGCCCCGGGGCAGGCGCCCACAGCGGGGGATTGTGTTTGTTTATACTGTTTTTCGACTGCTAGAATATGCAACGCCATGCAAAGCAACGCAATGCAAAAGAAGGCAACACAACGCACTGTGGAGCAAAACAAATAAACGCGATGCAAAGCAATGCAGTGCAAAGCAATGCAAAGCAGTACAAAACAACGCCAAGCAAGGCAAGGCAAAGAAACACACTGCATTGCAATGCAATGCAAAGCAAGGCAAAGCCAGACAAAGAAATGCACAGTAACAAACATCAATGTGAAGCAACGAAACGCAATGCAAAGCAACGCGAAGCGACGCAAAGCAATGCGAAGCACCGCAAAGCAACACAAAACAGGGCAACACAGCGCAATCCAATGCCAAGAAATGCAAAGCAAGGCAAAGCAGCGCAATGCAAAGCATTGCGAAGCAAGGCACTGCAAAGCAATGCCATGCAAAACAAGGCAACGGAAAGCAACGCAAAGCAAGGCAAAGCAAGACACAGCAATGCACAGCAACGCAAAGCAATGCAACGCAAGTGTAAGTCCGAGTTAGCAAGCAATATAACGTCGGCGACGCGCGGCGACGGCGGCGAAGGGGCGGTGCCGGTGATCACGTAGCCGCCAGACCGGCACGCAGGCCCAGACGACGGGCGGCGACGAGGCGGCGACGGGGCGGCGACGGGGCGGCGACGGCGACAACATAGCTGCAAGACCGACCCGCATGCCCAGACGCCGGGCGGCGACGAGGCGGCGACAGGGCGGCGACGGCGACAGTGTAGCCGCCAGACTGGCCCGCAGGCCCAGTTCCTGCGAAAAGAAATGAAAACGTCTAGTTAAGCAGAAACACTGTTTGAGAAATATGCTCGATCTCGAGGCCAGGATCCGCAGTCAATTGCATCAGATCGCCCTCCCGAGGACAGAATGTCTGGCAAACTGCGCCACATTCGCGATCCCGAGGCCAGAACTCCTTCTAGACTACGCCGGCTTTGCGTTCCTGGGGCCATGACCCATTTTGAATGACGCCAGATTCGCGCTCCCGGTGCCGGAGTCCGCTGTGAATTACGCCAGATTCGCGCTCGCGAGGCCAGAATCCGCAGTGAGTAACCCTGGAACCACGCCCTCGAAACCGCAATCCTCGTTGGCCACGCCAGACTCGCGACCCCGAGGCGACGATCCCTAGCACATTACGCAAGAGTCGCGCCTCCGAGGCTACCATCCTTTGTAAACGACATCACGATTACCAACCGTGCTCGCATGCGGTTCCGATATCGCTTCAAGTCGGCGCCCAGGCATCCCAACGTAGCTCTGGCATGTCCCATTTCTTACAGAGAGGGAGCCGGCGGCAGAGTGCGAAGCCTTTACGGATAGAAGAAAGATTAGGGGAAAGCTCCCATCACGCGTCGATCGATGGAGGAAAGGAAACTCAACACCACCTGGTGGGTGGAGGCAGGCAGATGGGAACCAGGCAGGGGTTGTGGTGGCGTCCGTGTCTCTGGCGCTCTCAAGGGGCACCCTGCACCCCTGCACCACACAAATCAGCTCATCCTTCCTTCAGGCTGCAGCTATTGGAGATTCAAATGGAGCGTCGGCCCAACAGAACGTCCTTGGTCGAAACCCGGCTCAACCTGGCACAATCCTTACCTCACTCGCCATCGTTTGGACCTCCATTCCCTGTGCATTTTTCGGTTTCGTGCGTGCTTTTTCTGCTAGATGATCCAGGATGCTCCTCGATGGTCTTCGCCGGAGACACATGCACACGTCCGAGGGATGCCAAGCAAATTGATCGGGCTTGATCGTCCTTGGCCGTTCCCACCCGCCTCCCAGGAGCTGCTTTCGTAATATGAGTATACCAATACGTGCACCCCGCCTCGACTGCCGGTGGTGGTGGTGGTGCGGTTCCTTCCTCGGGCCCTACGCACAGGAGGGAATGGGAACGAGGGGGAGCGAATCAGCTGCATGCAGCTGGGTTCCGCGAGGCGCCGGAGTTGGCCACTGTATCAAGGAACGCGCTCGGGGGCGGGGCCGAACTCAGCTGCACGCGGCAGATTTCGGACCCCCCGTCCCCCACTCTCGTGCAATTCTAGGCGCTTCACCTGAGGCCAAAAAACCGGGCCGCCCGCGACGAACGCCTGCTGAATGCGGCCGGTAGCAGGGGCGCTCTTTGGGGCATGCCCGCGGAAATGCTTGCTGCGGCACTCGCTGCCGGAGGCCCTGGCAGAGAGGAGGTCGCGGAACAGCTCTCGCCACAGAGGGCTTCTGGACGTGTGCGCCGTCTAGGAGGCCCTCACTGGGCCCTGGAAGCCGTCAGAAAACGGCTCGGGATGAACAGGCGGCCCTTCGGGCGGATGGTAAAGGGGGGTGACCTGAAGGGGGGGATGAAGAGAGGGACCCTAGAGGGGCCCTTGAGGGCCCCTTCTGGACTCCTATTGGCTCCAAGAGGGGCCCGAAAGGGCCTCTTCTTCATCTCTTAACACCCGCCCGGGTCCTGGGAAGGGAGTCAGACATCTGCGGGTCTACGTGAGAAAATCACGTAGGGGGGTCCAGGGAGGATACTTGTAGGGCTGCGGGTGCCAAGTGGTCCAAGACAGTCAGGGGCCGGTCGTAGCAAGCGGCAGGGAACACTGGGAGCGAATTGAGGCACGAAGGCAAAAGAGAACAGAGCGCGAGGGGGGAAACCAAAAGGTACAGATACCTCTACTCCCCTGGGGTGCTTTCTGACCAGAATTTCAAAACGAATCCAGCTGTGGCGACGAGGGCCTCCCAGGAGGCCGTAAACGGGGCAAACAGGGGAAGTGTGGCAATATGGGTGCCTTTTCTCGGGCCTTTTCTGTGGGACTTTGCTCAGTGAGGTGCACCGGGGGGACGCTCCCCCCGCCCCATGCCACGATTCGGAACTGTCGTCACCCGAAGGAGCACCAGCTACGACAGACCTGGTTGAGTGATTCTGGCCACATTGGAGGGCTTTGGGGCCCAATTACTAACCGGCTCCCATTGCCTGGGGTCCTGGCTACATACCAGATGTCCCTGCCCTGAGCGAGGGGGGAAGAGGTAGAAGCCCCCCAAGGGAGGATACACGCAGAATGCACTGGCACACCACCGCCGCCGACCCTGGCCAAAGGAAGGCCCTGACATGACGCATACGCTCTCCTGGCTGAGGCCATGAGGCCCCAGTCCCAAATTGTACACAAAGACGGGGCCAAGGATGCCAGGGATGGCTCAGGCCAGGCATCGTGCATGAATGTTTGAAGGGGCCTAGGGACACACAGAGTTAAAAATTCGCTGGCCCACCGGGTCAAAGGCGTGCTGAGATCTCCGGTACCTGGTGAACCAAATATTCTAGTTCGCGCGCGCGGGGCGGCCTCTGGGGGCTCCCGGACGAAGAGTACCCCGACCAGGTCCCGGCCAGTTCGGCTCCGAGATGGTTTTCCTCCTCGGCGCTGCCTTCCAGGCCTCCCAGAGCGCCCCAGGAAAGCGCCAAAAGAAGACTCGGGGACGCCCCCGAGACGGTCCAGAGGGGCCCCGAGTCGCCGAAAGATTGCTCCAAGACGCCCATGCTGGCCTCCAGACGGCCCTAGACGCCGCCGAGAAGCTCCAAGAGGGACTCAAGAGGCCGTCCAAGAGGGCCGCAACAAGCAACAACCTTAGGAAACCGTGCATTTCTGGCAAAGACGACGTTCGGAGGTTCACAGCGTCCAAGACTGCCCAAGATCCCCCAAAGATCGCCCCAAGATGGCTCAGCATACCCCCAAGATGCGCCCAAGAGGGCCACCAGAGGGCTCCAAGACGGCCCAAGAGGGCTCCAAGACGGCCCAAGACGCCCCCAGAGAGGGAACTCGAAATGACATTTGAAGCTCTCCGACCCCAGGGGCCCCATTCCGAGACCGCCAGCAGGCTCCCAAGAAGCACCCAGAAGTCCCAAGAAGCCCCCGAAGAGACCCACAATCAGGCCCCCAGGGCACCCAAACGGCCCTGACGAGGCCTCAAGGAGCTTCAAAACTACCTCCAACAGGCTTCCGCGACACCTGCCAGGAGACCCCAACACCGCCGCATCAAATGTCCCCTGCGCCCCATCGACAAGCCCAAGAGTGAGCATCCACGACCAGCAAACCCCCACGAAGGCACCCGAAGTCCAACAGAGCACCACACAACTAGCCGCCCCATGAAAAGCCACCGATTCCCCTGACAACTCCCAAGAAATCCAGACGAATCGCCTCAGCATCATGCCCCACGCAACGCCTCAGAAAACAGCCGACTCCCCTGCAACTCAACACCGCCAACGACCACTCGGCCAGTCGACGCAGCAGTGCCCAAAAATGGGCCGGCGGAATGAGCGAAGCGATTGAATAAACACACATCCCAGGATCCCCCATATTGTCAATATTTTCTGGATGTTCGCCTTCCCTCCACTCCCCATATCCTGTATAGATTCCTGGGGATCGACGGCTCTTTGTGTCCGTGTGCTTTCTGTTCCTCCAGCCAGCCATCGTGCATGCAGATCCCTGTGAAAGATGCAAGCCTTAGGTCGGGCATGTCCTTGTACATGCGGGCTTTTGAATATGAATTCAAACAAATACTCAAACATAGTCGCAAGACCACGAAACATCGTAACCGCACGCTTTAACTATTCTTGAATCTTCCTCCTGTAGAGGGACACGCCCGACGTAATGCAAGCCCCCAGGCAGCACGGGCGCAAGCTCTCGCAGGTCCGCGCGCGAAACGTCTTGAGCATCGTTTGACCGATCCCTATCCCCACGGGCGTGGCCTGGGCTCCACTGGCCGATTTATCCCCCTAGATGGGGACATAGGCTGTTCCCTTCGAGTTTCGAGGGGCATGTCCCCAACTAGGGTGGTGGGATGGTGGGGATCTGGACGGAGATGGAGATGGGGATAGGGATCGGTTAAACGATGCTGAGCTCTGGGGATGACGCTGAGTCCCCCCCCGCCTGCACATCACTGCACGCCGGGCGCGCTGGGCAGTGCCGGGAGGCGGCGCCAGAGGCGCCGCCCAAGAAACAAAAAACCGCTTGGACCTCCACAAGCTTGCGTCTACGCTGCCCTCTTCAGACAAACGCGTTCCGACATTCGCAGAAAACTATTTGCCAATGGCCCGGATCCGCTGCGAGGGATTTTACGATCCGTTACATCGAGGCGAGGATGTTTTTTTCTGACGTTTGCGAGTAGGCACTTTGCGAATAGTGGAACGCGCTCGGTGACTCTTGCCTCCCAGGAAATCGCTGACAAAGGCGGGACAGAAGAGTGCCAGCACCAGCACCACAATCGTCAAGGAGCAAGAGGGGGGAGGGGCCGGCCTTCCGAGAAGGCAGGGTGCTTCTTAAAGGCCCTCCCGGATTCTGAGATGGTTTCTTGAAAGCCAGGGCGGCCCTTCTCAAAATGCCGCCCCCTCCCCGAGAAGACCCCACGCCCTCTCGGAAGGCCAGCCCCTCTCGCGCCATCCCCCGTGCGCGCCGCCCACTGGTGCCAGTGCCGCTGCTTCTCCGCGCCTCGCCCACTGCGCTGCCAGCCTCCCGTAAGACGAAGCCAGGACGAGGACACCCGACGGTCGGAAGACGTGGGTAGAGACATGAAGTAGGAAGGCGTTGGAAGTAGATTGGGCTTCCGCCCGCCTCCTGAGGAGGGAGGAGAGAAAACCACTCGACTCTTGAAATAGCGCGGCGGCGAAAGTAGACTGAGATCTGGGAGTCCAGGAATACCTTCTCTCAACGTTCGGCGTGCAACGTCGGGTGAGAACACATCGAGAAACTCTGAGATCTGGAGGATGCCTCGGGCGCCGCGGCCTTCTCAGAGCGTTCCGGAACGCTCTGAGAGCGCCCCGGAACGCTCTGGAACGGACTTATGCAGTGGAGGCCCATGCCAAGAAACACCCTGCTTGCCTCCAGGGTGCCCTGGGTTTCTTGGGTTTCGAGGGTTTTGCGAATGAGCACGTGACGTTCCCACACCAAATATCCATGGACGTCCTGGGGTCTCAGGGCTGGGTTTCTTGTGGAAAATTTCGTCTGGACGGGCCCCCACTGTGTATTCCAAATCCCTTATTAATCGTCCCCGGGTCCGGTTTTTTAAGGCGCCTTTTTGGTCATTAAGGGGGTCCGGTTTGTTAAGTCGCTTTCTTTGGATTGGAGCTGAGGGGGTCTGGTTTATTAAGGCGCCCCATCGAAGAGGGGGTCCGGAATATTAGGTCGCATTCGGAAGGGGGGTCTGGTTTTTTAGGGGGGGGTCGATTAATAAGGGATTTGGAGTAGCCCCGTCCGATCCCGCTCGGGGAGGTCTCGTGTACACTTCGCCGGGAGGGGTTGGGGGGGAGGAGGCTCTGCCGGCGGCGGTGGCCTCGAGCACGAAAAGGCGGCGCCACGCAGCCCGCGGGCGCCCTCAGAAGCTCATAGTCATGTGGTGGACCTGAGGAGGACGAAGGCAAACACGACGACGACGACGAGGCCGAGGGAAAGCGACCATCCACTCACGCCGGTGCAGGCACCTGCCGAACGCCTCTTCCATCGTGAGGGTCGTCGTCCAGGATCCGCGGCACCCGCCGTAAGGCCTTGGCAGTACAGCCAAAACGTGTGTCACGGACGGGTGGTCAGGACGCCAGACCCTCGGAGGCCGACGTCGGGATTCTGTGGACGACGGGCGACCAGTGAAAACGGTAAAGGACGGGCCGCAGAGGCAAGGACACGAGGGTACCCAAGATGAAGGCGCGCGTCAAGGCCCTAGCAATACGACGACGACGAGGCCGAGGGACGCCAACCATCTAATCACGCCAGTGCAGGTACCTGGTGGGCATCCCCCGAGCAGGGGCAGCAGCATCGAGCACGCCGTCTGATGGGCTGCTGCAAGCGGGGCATGTGGAAAAGGGGAGGGAAGCTCGCCATCGCTCGGACGTCCATTCCACGTGCCTTCTCAATTTCGTGGGTGTATTTGTCTGCGAGCTGATCACAGATGCTCCTCGATGGTCCTCGCGAAAAAAATACACGCGTCTGAGCGATGCCAAGGGAAGGGGCAGGATCAATCAACATCGAATCGGGAAATCGGATCGACTCGGAATGTGCGTCGGATCGGGCTGCATCGGCACGGAGTCGAAATTGAATCGGATTGGCTGCGCTAGGATGCACACCAGCGCCATGCAAACATCGGGCCGCGTCGGATCTTCGGAATATCCGTATTGAATCGGATCGGAATGGCCAGAATCGATGTCGAATCGGATCATTCGGCTCGAACTGGACTGACACTGGAGAAATGGAGAAAACAAGGAAGGAAGGAAAAGAGGGAAACGGGTGAGAAGAAGACGAATAAACATCATATTAATACTAAAAGGAGTAAAAGAGCGAATGAAAGAGCGAATGCGGATAATAATACGAATTAGAAGAAGACGACGAATAAGAAGGGGGGAAAAGGAACCCGGGGAGAATTAAGAATGATAACAGGAAGACGACGACGAAGACGAATAAGAAGGGGCGAGAAGGAACCGGGGGAGAAGAAGAATACGTACCATATGAAGAAGAATAAGAAAAAGAAGAAGAAGACGAGACGAAGACGAAGACGAAGACGACGACTCCCAAGAAGGGGAGATCCTGCTCACGACGCTCTGGCGCCCGACGGGGGCTGCAGGGCAGTCCAGACGGAGGGGTACCTACGAAGCCGCATGCCCGACAGGCCACGACGGCCCGACGAAGGCGGCGCGCGCTGCGAGCAAGCTCACGGCTGCGGCGCAGGAGGAGCAGGAGCAGAAGGGCCTGCCATCGCTCGGGCGCCCGCTCCCCGTGCGTCCTTGTGCCCGAGGATCGAGGGTGCTTCTGGAGGCCCCTCGCCGAGAAAAGAGGCACGAGCCCGAGCGATGGCAAGGGAGGAGCCCTCTGCCCCGCCCCCCCCGAGGCGGCACAGCACCGAGGGCGGGCCGAGGACGGCAGGGCCTGGTCTCCGCCTCCCTGCGGGTAGCCCGCCCTCTGGGCGTCGCCCCCCGCGTGGTAGGGGTCCTGGCAGGGGGGGCGCGCGCGCGCGCTCGGCCGGGCGCGGGGGTGGCCCTGACACTCAACACCTTGAAACAAGAAGAGGAGGAGGAGGAGGAGGAGGAGGAGGAGGAGGAGGAGGAGGACGAGGAGGAGGAGGAGGAGGAGGGGGAGGGGGAGGAGGGGAAGCAGGAAGATGAGGCCGAACGGGGGGCGCGCGAGAGAACATCGGGTGAGGACACATCAAGAATCTCTGAGATCTGGCGGATCTGGAAGATTTCTCGGGCGCCGAGGCCTTCTCAGAGCGTTCTGGAACGCTATAAGTTCCAGAACGCTCTGGGTTGATTTTATCCTCGTCCTAACCCTGCCCGATCTTAAAAAAACGCTGAATTGTGTTGTTGTTTTTTCTGGTTTTCGGCATCGGGGGGCCCTCGCAGGGCTGCGGGGCCGTCGAACAGCGACTCGAGATGAGAAGCTGGCCCATGGGGTTGGGCGGCGAGAAGTGGCACAGAAGAAGAAAAAACGCCATAAGCATAAAGTGCTGGCCATCGGCGCAGATTTCTTGGATCTGCGCCGGACCCCCCTCCCTGGCGCGCGGAGCGCGCCAGAGGTGGCGCCAGAGGCGGCGCCGGAGGCGCCGCCAGGGGGGCCCAGCGCGGATCCAAGAAATCCACGCGGAGCGCCAAAAGTTTATGTATACGACGTTTTTCTTCTTCGAGATAAATGGGCAGGCGTTAATTGGGGGGGCAGCAAAGGCTGCATAAAAGGGCCCCCCCTCCCCTTCCTCCTCATCCTCCCCCCTCCTCCTCCGCCTCCGCCTCCGCCTCCGCCTCCGCCTCCTCCTCCTCCTCCTCCTCCTCCTCCTCCTCCTCCTCCCCCTCCTCCTCCTCCTCCTCCGCCTCCTCCTCCTCCTCCTCCTCCGCCTCCTCCTCCTCCTCCTCCTCCTCCTCCTCCGCCTCCGCCTCCGCCTCCCTCCTCCTCCTCCTCCTCCTCCTCTCCTCCTCCTCCTCCGCCTCCGCCTCCGCCTCCGCCTCCTCCCTCCTCCTCCTCCTCCTCCTCCTCCTCCTCCTCCTGCTCCCCTCCGCCCCCGCTCCTCCTCCACCTCCTCCGCCTCCGCCTTCCTCCTCCTCCTCCTCCTCCTCCTCCTCCTCCTCCTCCTCCTCCTCCTCCTCCTCCGCCTCCGCCTCCGCCTCCGCCTCCGCCTCCGCCTCCTCTCCTCCTCCTCCTCTCCTCCTCCTCCTCCCGCCTCCTCGCCTCCTCCTCCTCCTCCTCCTCCTCCTCCTCCTCCTCCTCCTCCTCCCGCCTCCGCCTCCCCGCCTCCGCCTCCTCCTCCTCCTCCTCCTCCTCCTCCTCCTCCCTCCTCCCTCCTCCTCCTCCGCCTCCGCCCTCCTCCTCCTCCTCCTCCTCCTCCTCCTTCCTCCTCCTCCTCCTCCTCCTCCTCCTCCTCCTCCTCCTCCTCGCCCCGCCTCCGCCTCCTCCTCCGCCTCCGCCTCCTCCCCTCCTCCTCCTCCTCCTCCTCCTCCTCCTCCTCCTCCTCCTCCTCCTCCTCCTCCTCCTCCTCCTCCTCCTCCTCCTCCTCCTCCTCCTCCCCCCGCCGCCGTCCTGGCGCTCGAGCCCAGGCGGGCCCGGCGGGCGGCCGCCCTTCTGGCCCCCGCCGCGGGGGCCGCCGGGGCCGGCAGG